GAAGTCAACAGGAAAAAAAGGGAAAAAACAGGAGCCAAAGATGACAACTTAAATCCTAGAGAACTCAAGAGGATCTCCGCTTCTTTTCTTCAAAGCCTTTTTAAACTATTTTAACTCTGTTTCCTCTATTCATAATCCTTACCATCAGGAAAAGAAAAAGGCTAGGATACTTTCTGTATCTTATTTCTAAAATACCCTATTTCTATAGCCCTACATATGGGATTAAAAATAATGGTACTTCCAGAATGTGTCTCACAACCTTGTCTAATTCTCATGCACACGCACACACCCCTCTCTGTGAGCTAAGTGTTGTTATACCCACTTTACAGGTAGGAAAACATGGCAAAAAGGAGGTGACTCACCTGTGGGCATAAATCTTATCACTTCCTGACACCATACTTCATATTTGTTCTATTAGGACACAATGCCTCCTGCTTTCCCTAGTGACGATAGTAGAGTTCTTTGCTCCCTGGGAAGGTCACAAGCAGCCAAATCCTAACTTACCTCTGAGAGGAAAAAATACCACTTTTATGATCGATAAACATGATTCTAATCCACACAGTTTGAAAAGCTAGATTCTGTAGGTGTATCAATTTTGGCCTTCTGAACATACTCAGAAGTGCTACACTGACACATCTATACTTCATGTTAATCCTCTTCCACCCTGGGAAGTAGCTAAATTCTGCAAAAGTCCCAAGTCTTAGGTCACACAAAATCAACAACTAGGAAGAGGAGAGTCCATCTGTCTTGCAGGGGGCCCCAAAAAACTGGGCTGGCCCTGTTAAGCTCACAGTCAAAGTGCCCTAACTGCCAGGCCATGAGCTAAGCAGTACTAAGGGCTCTTTTATTTGTCCAGCTGGGCAGCCAAGGCACAAAGGAAAGCATTGAAGAGGAAGTATGACTTCATGCTCCAGTAATGTGGACACTGTCCTTGGAGGGAGGAAGACCTGGGGTGTGGCTCCTGTTCCTAACCTGTGCTTTGAATGCTGTTTACACCATTTGAATTGCATAAAATACATGAGAATTAGGATCTCAGGCCAGAGGTGGATTAGGATTTGAGCCAATGCTTTTGTAAAGGGACTTTTCCATTCAAAAGCACAACTGCTGGCTCTCAATAGTGTAGGCTGCAATCAGCTGCTTTATTTAACTGCATGACAGAGGGGAGAGGAAAGTTCCCTCTGAGCAAACAGGAAGGAAGGAAAAGGGTAGAGTATGGGACCCTCTCATAATACTCTAAATAGCTCAGATAACACCAAGACAACCACTTTGTGACATCCCTTCCTGTTTAATTTATAGCCCAGAGGGAGTCTCTTTAAATATCAGCGCTCTTCTCTCTTTCTGTCACTCATGGGATAGCAGCTCTCCACATCAGCCAAGGCTGTCTCTGGGGACAGACAACCACTATCCCAGTCTCCTGGTCCAGCAGTTGTATGGTTATCCCCAACTTAAATGTTCCTGGCCACACTGCATCCTTTGCTGACCTTGGTTTGGTCTTCACACCTAGGTCAAGGTTCTAGGGTTTGCAGATGACTGCATGCGGATACGATTCATGTGGCATCTTACAACAATGGGCGTTGATAGAGAAAAGCCTGCTTTAGGACAGTATTTAGAATGCATGACAGCTAATGTCCAACTCTGTTTTTTGCATAATATCATGTTTCTTAGACTATCATAGACTCACAAGGAGATTTGATTAAAGCCCAGCTCCAGAGTTAGACACAGCTTTTCCAAAACATCTTTGTTTTCATTTGAAAGTGCCAAATGTAGTTTATGATCTGTCAGAATGATAAAACAGTTCCCATACTGCTGTTGCTAATTCTACAGTTTTGAGTCTGATTAAATTCACTCCTATCAGCAATCATCTTTGAATTCTATTAATTCCTCAAGCTAATCTGTTCCATGTTTTATGCAAGACTCTTTAGCAATGCTAAAATGGTGGAGACTTGCCTTACTTCCACATCAATAATGCTTGGCTTTGGTATCTAGTGAACCTTTTCTGGATTTTCTAACTTTTATCTCCCAGTTTTTGAGGATGTAACATATTTCTTACGGAGAAGTAGGTGTTATTGCTACGGAAACAGAGGAAATTGGATTTCTATTTGTTCCCATCTGTAACCTCATTTGCTAGAAAAGATTGGACAAACTATTCTGTAGGTTTCTGGCAGTCCTCATTCTCTGCACTAAACACCTTATTTTTTCCCCATAATTTGCCTTTCCTCATGTTTTTCTTGACCTCAGTGTTGTAGAGGGACCAATGAGTTCAGCAAAAAACAACTGTCAGCTCCCAGTACTACAGGCTAGAACTTGCTGCTAGATTTGTCTGGTCACAATGTGGAGAAGGGGAAATTCCCACTGAGCAAACAGGAGAACTATAACCTTGCTCAATTAAGGAGGCCACTATATATATGACAATTGATTACTGGAGAGAAAAAGGGAGAAAACAGGGATGGGAATGAAGGTCGTAGGTTGATAACAAGGTTCTGGGAGGGGAGGGCACTGAACAGCAAACACTAATTATGGGTGCTGATAGAAGTGACATTTGAGCAATTAGCCCCCTGAAAGTGCTCTACAGTCATGTCCTGATAGAAGTGCACAACTGAAGAGTGCTTTAAAAGCACCTGATCACACAACAAACTAAATATCATCTAATGAGGGTCCAGATGAAAAAGCTCCAAAGTACAGTGTCGTCTTTAGCTTCTTTTAGTATCTGTGCACGATTAGGGCTGGGCTGATGCAACCCAGCCGTGCCCTGGTGCTGTCTGTAGGATGGGAAGGGGGAAAAGGGAGGGTTGGGAGCTCTGCGCTGTGGTTTCCCAGCTTGAGCTGGGAGTGGGGAAGTGCGGGTGGATCAGAGCCCCTCCTTCTCATGCCCCCCCAACCCCCTCTCCATCCTGCTCAGGCTGGAGCTCCCTCCCCTACCCCCCCTCCCATCTTGCAGACAGCACTGGATCTGGGAGTGGGAGAGCAGGGCTAGGAGAAAGAGGCTGCCTCTCTCTGCTGGATTGGCTCCAAAGTGGAGATCAATTCCTGCAAACTGCCCCGCCTCTGACCACACAGTGAACCTCTATTGGATCAGGGAGGTCACAACTCACGGTGCTTTCTGTGAAGTGCAATGATTTAGAGTGGGTGCTGACAGATGTG